TCCAGTCTGTAGGGATGCTTGGGATTCCTCCGGCCCAAGTGCAAAACTCTGCACTTTGCAGTGTTGAACCTGCACCTCAGTGTCCTTTCTATATTGAGGTGCCCAAAACTGAACACAGAACTCAAGGTGAGGCCTCACCAATGCTGAGTACAGGGGCAGGATGACTTCCCTAGCACTGCTCATCACACCATTTCTGATACAAGCCAGGATGGCATTGGCCTTGGAAAGGTCAGCTGTGCTCCTTTGTACTTCTGGGGGAGATTTACTGCTTAGGGTGGGAGGAGTTCATAGAAAATGAGCTTCACAAGCATCGCTGGGTTGTAGGTTTCTGTTCTGTGTCTCTTGATCAGAATAATATCTGACAAAAGCATCATCTGCATAAAACCCTCTGCTTCTCGGAGGCTGTTTCCACTCCCGCTGGCTGTGGTGTGGGGAAGCCATTAACACAGTGACCCCCACACAGTGCACAGAAAACCAGCCAGAGGTTCTACGTGAATGAGCAGTGGTGAGAACAGCTGCCTGGCATCAGCCCTGCATTCTCTGAGGGGAACTGGGCATATTGGTTCATGCTGGCTGACTCAGAAACATTGCCTGGGGAGGAAGATGCTCATAAATCCATTCCTGTACATTCATTTTTTCATCTCTGATGTTTTGTAGGATACTGACTTATCGAGAAATATTCCTGGTAAAGTGAAAGTGTCTGCACCAAATCTGCTGAACAGGAAGAAAAAGTGAATGGATATTTGAGTTTCACCACCGAACTGCAACTGTGCAGTCGAGATGGGTGCCTGCAGGGGGGGCAGACAGCCCTACCCTCACTGCTGCCATTTGGCTGCACTCAGCTTCCCTGGCAGCAAGCAGCTGTGGACCAGTTCTTCCATCACGGTTTAGATGGACTCTGACAACTCCATTGCTATAAATAGCATCCAAACTTGGAAGTAAACTGCTGGCCTCTGGTCAGTGATGTGCTGTCAAGCTGTGTGCTCTCTAATGCTTTCCCCACCTTTCTCTGCCTTTCTCAGAGGCTAAGGCGCGCCCTGATTACCTGCAGCACAACCTGAGATGTTCTGCTTCCACCTAACCTGCCTCTTTCCCCTGCAGGGGATCGGAGCTCCTAGTAGAGATGTCTCAGTGAAGAATATGCTTGATTTGAGAAAAGACAGTTATTTTCCCGAAAATGCAGCATGGAAGCAGGCCAGGAGAAAAAAAAATCAGCTCTAGCACTTCCCCAGCTCCCAGCAGTACAACCCTGTGCTGTGTAACTCTCACCACTGTGCACAAGAGCAGCACACACAGAAGAGCAGAATGAGTCCATGTGCAGCTGCTCATCAGCATAGCCTGGAGGTCTCCAACTCTTTCCACACCACTGTGAGTGCTCCCAGCAGCCCCAGCTAAAGCTTGGAAAAGAAATGAGCGCACACATTACACTGCAGGAATTGTTATGTCCTAGAAGTCAGTTGTTTATTGACTTTTTTCACTAAACAAGATGTAACCCATTCCCAACAGCAGCACAGCTTGCCCTGTGGCTCAGGCTGTTCTGCTGCAGGTGAGCTCTGCAGTTCCTGACAGCTGACAACTGGCTCAGGCACACTCAGTTACACTGCTCAGGGCAGAATATCTGCTACCTAAGGTTCACAATTGAAGTTCCACAACATAAAAGAGTTTCATAAACCAGACTAGAACCAAGCAGAGAGTCGTGGTGCTTTCACAGCTGAAGGTTTACAACAGTTTAGCAATTTGGGTCATGTACAATTTTCAAATCCCATTTTTCTGACCTTTGTAGCAAAGTATGTTAAGCAGTTCCCTAACAGCACAGACTAAAACAGGACTCACCCATCACAGCACTCTTCAGCACAAACTAAAGCAGCACTTCTCCTTCCTGTGTCTGCAGGGCCTCTCTTATCTCCTGCACAGCCACTGACATCCACAGCACCAACTGGGACAGACAGCGTTATTTCCATGTATCCACACCTCATTTTGCTCAGGGTTGGCCCTCACAAGTACTTCACGGTGGACAAACCCACAACTAGGTTTGGCTGAAGCACAGCATCCACCTCCACTTGCATTAAATACATTTATTGCAAACATCTTTACACAAAAATAGGTTTTCTCTAGGCCATTCACATGCAACTTCAAGGCGGGAAGCAACTACCTACAGTACAGCTACTTCATCTATACAGGTTTCATGTCTGCCACACGTGGTACAATTAATTATTACATCTTAGAATTGATCATCCATGCACCGCTCAGAGCTGTCAGCACAGAGGGCTCAGGAGCCCGAGGTGTTGTTGCTTCCAAACCGTTGATTGACGCTGTGCAGCAAGTGCTTGGGGAGGCAATTCCAGGAGCTGGCCAACATCTCCTTAAAGCAAATGACTGCTTCGAGGCAAAGCCTGGGGGAGAGGGAACACACAGCAGCTGTTAGCATGAATGGAGTCCTGCAAGGTGAGCTAATAATCATTTACGGCTGTCTGCTGCCACATGACTATTGAATGGAATCTCACTGTCTCCATATTAAGCTGCTGTTGTTTCAGCTCTCTTTAAAGGAAGAAATTTTTCAAGCATTTTAGATTGGCACTAAGCCTGCACCAGTTGCTTTAGAACGGAACACCACAGCTTAATGTTGAAGTCTTGCTTTCTTACCTTACAAGCGATCGTGGTTGTAGAGAAAACACAAGTATTTCATTACTGTGAGCCTGCATGTGGGAGGGAGAGAGAGAGAATCAGTTTGTGTGGATCCCATCGTGACAGAACCAAACCAGCCAAGGCTCAGAGGGATCTGGGTGAGGAAGGCAGACACAGCACAGGTCTGGGGCTGGAGTTCACATAAGCCACAAATGTAGCACATAAGTTGGACTCAGAACTGCTCACCAAACCCTGTGGTGCCTCTGCAGTTAGCACTAAGGAAACCACAGGTGGATCAGTGCCCCATGTCCTGCTCTGCCTGGCCAGCACCTTCAGGGAATAGCAGCAACCCAACCCCTGTGGGTGCTGCTGGAGCTTTCAGGTCTCCAGGGATCTGCACATGAGATGCTCTGGGCCCAGGGACTGCATCAGGCTCAGCAGTCAGTTTTTTATTGTTGTTTTTAAGGATGACACGTTGCACCACTCTTGTTTGTCACTTGCTGGTTCCACCTGACACCCACTGCTTCTTACAGTAAAACGCGCAGCCGTGCTTGTTCCCAGTCACTTTCCAGCCACGTGGGGACTTCACAGACCATAATGCTCCCTGTCCTGGCTCAAGAAACCCGCTCTGTGCCACGTGCCCTCAGCAGGGCACCACAATGAAGAAACTGCATTGGGAGGGGCCCACTGAGCTCACCTGGTGAGAAGCACCAGGCAAAGCTAAAGCAGGAGCCAGCAGATGAGAGCTCCAAGTGAAACACCACTATGAGGGAAACAAGCCACGTTTGTTTAAACAGTGAATAGTGACCTTTTCTAGAAAAGCAGCACATTTCCCATTAGAGCTTTGTTTATGTGTCTGCCAGTCCTGCAGACACGGGATGAGAAGCACTTTATGCTTGCTGCAGTGCTGAGGAATTGCAGCTCCTGCGGGCAGGGCTGTGCAAGAAGGAAAGCAAAGCTTGGGATAAACTTACAGCTTTAGAATGGGCCAGCAAGTTGTTGGCACAGCCCCCAAAGACGATCACCTCTCCCTCTTCGCTTGCACAAGCAGTGTGCCACAGCCTGCAAACAGAAGGCAGCATTCAACAACAACACTCCACCCAAAAAGCCACGTTTGAGGTTTGTATTTCAAGCTAACACACACAGGTCTGCCTTCCCAATGCTATCCTGCAGCACTGACCAATGCAATGGGAGTTTGTGGTTTGAGGAATAGAACTCCTGGCCAGACAATGATGGACTGGGCAGGCTGCTCTGGTTAGAGCAGGGCTGTGGGGCTCAACTGCCTGCAGGTACGGGCACACATCAAACTCCTGGAGGATGGATGCAATGAAAATACAGCCTGTGAGAGCACTGCGCCCCCCTCGAGTCAATAGACTGAAGGACCATGATCTGTAACTCTCTGGAAGCCTTATGGCATAGCAGCTCAGCTTTGAAAAACAGCCCCCTCCTCACTGCCAGCAGCAGGGCCCAAGGGCACAGAGTGGGAACCACTGCTGCTGTAACTCGCTGAAGCCCAACCCAAACCTCTTCCCCAGACTCGATGGGTCACAGCTCATGTGACACCGGTGTTTGTGATGCCGTATGTGTGCATCACGATTGTTTTAATGCTTTTTAAATTGCTGCTCATCACCTCTAATTTACTCAGTAGGTCTTTATGAACACAAAAACACCCTGGGGGAACATAGGGCCAGCCCTGAGTGAGGACACTGAGAACAGTGTGTGTTGGTGGCACAGCGGGGACACACGGGCTCCAGCCAGCTCCTGTGCTGGCACACACAGCTCAGGGTCCCTTCAGCCTGCACATCCAGCCCCAAATCCCTGTTTCCTGCTGCCTCACAAACAAAGCACTGAGCTACAAGCTGGCTGCCTCCACCCCAGGCACAGCACTACTGTGTGCAGATGCTGCACATCGGTGTCTGTGGGGTAGAAAATGCTAACACAGGGTATTGTGCTGTTAGGAAAGACAAGCAGTGTGGGGAGAAGTGGGTGTCCTCCCTCACTGCCATCACAAAGAGCCCCCTCACTCTTTTTTCTTTGCTAAGTTTCCAAGAAAGCGTGCACCATACCTGGGTTTTTCAGAGTAGTTATGCTCGAACTGTACCCACTCATTCTTGCTGATACAATAAATCCAAGCATCACCTGAAAACAAGCAAAACCCCAAATACAAAGAATCCTGTTTGTATCATAGAATCATTCTGTGATTCCGTAATACAAACAGGATTCTTTTAGTTCTGTCATGTTTGTTGCAATAAACATGTACTCTGCTATAATACAGTGCATCTTTGTTCTTAAATAAATCAAGTTTTTCAGGACAAACCCTGTGAAGCTTGGGGAAACGGCTGTTTAAAGGGATGGATAGTGATAGGACAAGGGGGAATGGTCTTAAACTGAGACAGGGCAGATTTAGGTTGGATATGAGGAGGAAGTTTTTCAGCCAGAGGGTGGTGAGGCACTGGAACAGGTTGCCCAAGGAGGCTGTGGATGCCCCATCCCTGCAGGCATTCAAGGCCAGGCTGGATGTGGCTCTGGGCAGCCTGGGCTGCTGGTTGGAGACCTGCACACAGCAGGGGGTTGGAAGTGGATGAGCACTGTGGGCCTTTGCAACCCAGGCCATTCTAGGATTCTATGAAGCTTTGGGCTGCCTGTCTGAAAACAGCACTTTAATAGGAGGAAAGACAGAAACTGCAAAGCTCTTACTAATTGCAATTTGCATGTGATATGTTTTTAGAGCAGCCTGAGCTCTGTAAATAGCAATGTCTGCACACACTCCATGACTCCTACTCTGTCAACTCAGCTGTTGGCCACAAGGAACTGGATCACAGGACATGGAAGGAACGTACAAAGACTTTAGGGTGACTAGGCAGTAGCTCAGGCTCTTATTTAAGAACACAAAGACAAAATCCTTTTGGAATGACTTACTTAATGGCTGCTTGTCAGTGGTGAATCCTCCAAAGAGAAAGAGATGATCTGAGGAAATGGGTGTTAGGGAATGCCAGGAGCGGCCCACTGGGCAGACGCCTTGTGCCATTCTGTGTTTCAATAAAAGCACCATTAATCACTGATGTGCTAAAGTTAAACAGTGCTGCTCATTATTTTTCAGGTCTTTGAACCATGTGACTTTGTACTGCATGCAGGTCATGACCCAAGAGCAAGTTTTTACTGTGTCTAAAGTGAAAGGAGTTTTGCTCATATGAGGTCTTGAAAAAATGCTGCTGGCAAAAACCAAGGAGGTAATCCTACTTGTGTCTGCTCCCCTACTGCAGTTTACTAAGCTTGACTGATTGATTAGAAGTGAATAAAGATGACAATTTTATACTGCTTTCCACACTAAAGAACTGGAGTTTTAGTACCTACATTTCATTCCACTCCCATGTATCCAAATTCAGGTAGTAAAGGTCGTTCATTCGGGACTCCTACAACAAAGCAGAGCGTGGTTGAAGCACTCCATTTGGGTTTTGGTAGCACAGCACTCAGCAGGGCTGTGACTTACTCTGTATCTGCCTCCAAACACAAAACCTCTGTTCCCCACTGTAGCACACGCATGAGCTGCTCGTGGTGATGGAGTTTTACCCTGGGAAAAGAAAACATGAAATAAGAAGGGAAGTTTATCAGATATGTTAACAAAAGAAAACCTCATTCCAACAGAAATCCCCAGTGGTCAGCAAGGCATCCCTGCCCCACAAAGCAGCCAGCCAAAAAAATGAGGGGCTGAGCTATGGTCAGACTTAAGGTCACCAAGGAGCAGGGAGTGAGAAGTCATTCTGCGGGCAGAAATGTGTGAGGCAGAAGGCCTCAGACTGTAAACAAGGTAATGATATAGTGAATGCCAGGCAGGATTTTTCTTGAGCTACTGTGAAATATTTAAGATCCATAGGTATTAAGACAAAGCAGATCCTCAGAAATTTGAGCAAGGAGTTACTTATCTCACATTTAATTTCTTCAAATCCTGTGGCAGCCTCACTCTATTTGTCTGTTCCTAAATACTGCTGGGACACTTTAAATGAGGCCTATTTGCAATTGCAGAGCTTTTTGTTTTGACAAGGATCCAGCAGCCAAGTGACACACAATGAGCTGCCATGCTGCAGAGAGGATGACAGGAAGCCATGAACTTTGTTTCCCTGAGCTCCCCTTAAGAACAACACCACTGAAGCATGAAAGAAAGCAACTCAGTCGGAAAAATGATGGAGAGATAAAGAGCACAGAACAGGCAAGCTTCTTACTTTTGGAGAGGAGGGAGAAGCCATGTAAACAATGTAAACCAGCATTTGCTATTGGCCTCAAGTTGCACCAGGTGGAGGCACAGAGGTTAGGAAGAATTTTTTTCATCAGCAACCTATTCTAACTTAAATTTAAGCAGTGAAGGCAGGCCTGGCAGAGTCATGTCTGATTTCACAGCCTGCTAGAAGAGATATGGCACGACTTTCTGAAGAGTTTAACTTTAACTGATGTAAGAACAGTAATTACCGTAGTTATAGGCTGGCTCCAGGTAAATGTTTCAGTGTCCAGAACATGCACGTGGTCATTCCACCCTCTAGGAAGCCCTGAATTCTTTAAAAATATTTACAGAGAAGCAAGTTTTAGTAAGCACTAATGAAATATTAGGTGTCAACAGAAATAACTTCAAGGTGAGAAAAGTTTGCTTACCCAAAAAGAGGTCTCATCAAATTCAAAAGTTCCTCGCTGTTTCCCTTCAGGAAAATAACCATAGCCTCCAAAAAAGATTAGCCTGAAACAAAACATGCAACAAATGTTACCACATTTCTCACTACAAACTAAAGCTCTGTAAAGGTTGGGCTCAGACTGAAGGCAGGGAAGCACCTCTGACTTCATTATTTCCAAAACATAAACAGTGCAAGTTTTCCAGGTGTGGGGCCGTTTCTTGCCTAACCAACCTCACCACCCACACAAAATCCCTCTGTAGGTGTTTCCCAGGCCCCAGGCTGCTGAGCTTTGCTGCTGTTCTAAAAGCAAAGCTGCCAGGCCTGCTGCCTGATCCTTGTGCTCCAGCCTTCACTATCAGGGCTCTCACACAGAACTATGGGTGCTCCCAAAGCTTCCTGCCTCTGCTCTTTCCAAGCGTGCTGCTCAATTTCCCCAGTCCCAAAAGATTCACAAACAGTTCTGTGAGAAGCCATGGAATGTACACAGTGTGTGGGTGAAAAGAGAGAAGCCACCAGAGAGAAGAGGGCTGAAAGGGAGAGCTCAAATGCCTGTTCTGCACAGAGGCCTGTGTTTTTGCCAGAAAGTCTTAATGAAGAAACAGAAAACAACCCATACAGCTGACAGAACTGCCACAGCTCGAGTCCTGCAAATCTACCAGTGAACTCTCTCTCCATGCCTGGAATCTGGAAAGTAACACCACGGGCACTCTGCAAGCTTTTCGTTCTCTGCAGCGAATCCCACAACAGATGCACCCAGCACAAACCAGGCAGAATTAAGAACATGCATTGCTGAAAAAGCAATATACGTTTTTTTATTAAAATGGCTTCCCGTTCTCCTGCTCTTGAAGCATCAAAGACACACAAGCTGTTCCCCAAGATATGACTAACAGATTGCATTTTGTGTGTAATGGGAATCCCAGAACAGGCTTCTCTGTCCTTGCCAAGAAGGACACAGATACAAGCAACCATTCTTAAGAACAACAGACTGAGAAGGCACTGTGGAAGATTTGCCTGTAAGGAGCCCACTTTTTGCACTGTGACTCACATGGATACTTTGTGGCTCACACATACCCAGACTGGGAATTAGGTTTTTCATTTAGCAACAGCTAAAGGACACAGCAGATTTAAAAGGCTGGGGAACAAATCCAGCATCTTCCCAAAGCACGTTTGTGCTGCAGGCAAGAAGTCCTGCTGCAGCTCTTATGCAAACAAAAAGACACAACAACAGCAAGGCTGGGAGTGATGAAAACACACACACACGCACGCACGCACGCACACAAGGACTGCTGTGCTTTGTTGCCAAGAGCCTTACTTGTTTTTGTAAACCCACACGCCAAGTTTGTCCTTTGATGAAGGGGGGACCCCCTGACACTCTACTCTGACCCACTGCAGCACTTTGTCCGTGGATCTGGAATTTAACATGTAGAACTGTAGAAAATAAAAAGATTTCTTTTACCCAAACAGTTAGCTTACAGCTCTAGTCTGACTGATGTTACACTAACAACTTGTAATTAGCATGTATTGGTACAGAAGCACTACATGAGTTCTCTCCCTCACTGCACAGAGCACTGACAACATTTGGAATGAACTGTGGATCCAAAAATCTTTTTTTGCAGACTCAGACCCCAAAACATCCTTTTACAAAAATAACAGAACCATGCACATGGAGTGGGACCATTCAGAAGCTGCAAGGGAAGCAAATGAAGGTGTGCACAACATCACAACTGTCTTGTAACTTAAAAGAATAGTTTCAAAAAGTATTTTTAAAGCTTTTGCACAACACCTCCTGATATTAATTCAGCAACCTCTGGAAATTTCCACCTTTCAAAGAAGCAAACTTGGAAGCACCAGTGTAATATAATTTACAGGGTGAACTGCTCCAGAGCAAGTGCCACCCAAACAAGTAAAAGGTCACAGTGCTCCTCTGTGCTGGAAAGCCACCAGAGAGCAATGGTGCAGAGCTGGAGGCCAACCTCAAGTTTGGAAAACAGATTATCTGGCCTGCTGCAGAGAACTAATACACTGAATGGATAAAAGTGTGCCAGCTAATCACCTGAATGGAAAATAAAAAAATTCAAGTGGTAAGCACAGTATTTTGTTAGTCAAAATCTCTCAGGCAAGCATGAAAACACAGCTTCAATTAGTTTGCACTTGAGGAAGCTGCTGACAGGGCAAAAAGGCTGTTATCTGCTTGCCAGTAGGTGAAGCCATGGAGCACACAGTGCCTGGATCCACGTTCAGTATCCCATTATTAACATTCAAGCTCTGAAACGATTTCCAATCTGTCCAGCAATTCAGAAGAAAATGCTCCTGTGATTTGCTAAGTTGATACATTTCCTGCTATGGATCAATTTTAATTAACTGAAAAGTCCACCTCTGTATAGAATGGGCCCAAAAGCTAACGATGAGGAACTTATTTGTGAGAAAGGGTTTACTAAATTACTGACCTTGTTTGTGTTGCCACGTGCATGGTGTCCTCCAAACAGATACACCACCCTGTCTACACACACAGCACAACTTCCAGACATGGAGGGTGGAATATCTCCCTCTGTTTTACTCTTCTTCCTACAAACACAGATTAAGACATTATATTTAACCAAAATAAACAGTAACGATTTTGCCTGGAGTGAAAATCTGTACCACCACTATCACATTTTTAACTCTGACAGATCACTGTAGAGCACACAGTTCTGAGTTTTTCAGACCCACACAGGCTGAGCAGTTTACAACATCAGGCAGGCACTATGGGGAGGTGGGGTGAGGAAAAGACAGCTTAATTATCATGTGGTTTCTGGGGGAGGAATCCTGTCTGCCCAGTGCAGGAGTTCAGGGTGCTTCTCCCATTCCACATCCCAGAAGATCTCCAGGCAAAAAGGCTGCACCTGTCCAAACTGCGGGTTTCATTTTCCTACTGTTTTTCTTTAATGTCTGTAAACACTATAAACACACTTAAGGTTGTCCCAAAGCACTCTGACAAGTGCAAGAAGTGCTGAAGTTGCATTTTCTGCTAAGCATGGAGCAGACTGGGCTTCACAGCACATGACCCCAGCCAGTTACAGCATCAGAGCAATGTGTTCCCTTCTCCTCCTGTGCTTTCAGGCATGCAGTTCCACAAAGCTGTATGGCCCTACTGGTCTCAGCAAACATAAGTTTCTTTGGCAGCATAAATACTTAACAAAAAGGACAACAAATAAAACACAGAAGGTACCCACAATTCCTCCCTAGCAGCACATGGTACCCATTCAGTGTTCAGGTGTTGCATCCTACTCCAGACATCCCAGAACATCCCATGCTGATGCTGACATTTGCCTGTGCTCTCTGAGCTCTCTCCCCCACTTCACCCTACTCACTCCTGTGAAAATTTGTTTATCACATGGAAAAAAAACACAAAATAACAAGTTTGGAAGTATCGTACACATGTATGCAACAGTAGGATAGGTGGAAATAAAAGTCAGGGAGTTCCCCCTCTGTCCACAGACCCTCAGTGTGATCACTGTACCAATTCAAAACTTTTTTTTCCATAAAGCAAAAAATACTAAGTTAATTATTTACCATCTTCCAGTTTCCATGTTGTAGATCCATATTTCATCTCTAGGGAGATAGAAGTCATAAAATCCCCTAACTTGGGCATTCTGCAGAACATATCAGAAAAGAAAAAGGATGCTTGAATTACAGGCAGCTCTGAATGTTTACAACCCCTCAGAGACCCAACCTGCAAAAACAACAGGGGCAGTGCCTGCTGCACTCTCATACCTCCCACCTGCACACAGCAGTTTGAACCTTATTACTTTTTCTGCTGGGGACCAAACTTCCCACAGGGCCACAGGCTGGGATACATGGAAGCTAAATCCTATGTTCGCATGCCAGGCAGGGTAGCCTGGGTGCACAAAGGAGCCAAAGTGTTCTTTGTAATTCCCATTCCCATGACACCAACAGAATAATCAAAGAACCACAGCACGGTTGTGTTGAAAGGGACCACGCAGCTCCCAGCCCCACCCCTGTTGTGGGCTGGCTGCCCCCCAGCTCAGGCTGCCCAGGACCCATTCATGGCCTTGGGCACCTCCGGGGATGGCAATACATTAAAGCTTTGTCTTGAGCTATAATTCACCCACTGAATCTGCCGTCAAGTGAAAAATGATTAATTTTCATTCCTGTCAAAACTTTAGAATGGTTTGATTCCACTTGTCATGCACACACCTCAACACGTTAAATAACCAACTCGTGATTGGTAACATACAACATAGTTGTGCTGACACACAAAAAGCATCACTTCGCCAGGAGTGCATTCATAGCAGATTGTATGCTCTACTTTTATAACTGAAGCTTTTGTTTTTTAGAGGAGAGATCACAGAATCACAGAATGGCCTGGGTTGCAAAGGAGCACAATGCTCATCTAGTTTCAACCCCCTGCTATGTGCAGGGTTGCCAACCAGCAGCCCAGGCTGCCCAGAGCCACATCCAGCCTGGCCTTGAATGCCTCCAGAGCCACGTCCAAACAAACAGTACATAATTACAAGCACTAAAGTTGACAGGCAGGGTAGCACAGAGCAGAGTGTACCTTGTATCCTCCCCAGACGTACATGCAGCGCCCATCAGTGACTGCCACGTGCCCGCTGCGCTCCGCAGGGCTGTCATTCTCCAGCTGCTCAAAGCTGTCCTCAGCTGGAGCCGGGAGCTCTTCATCTGCCTGCAGGTCTTCATTATCATCAGCCATTTTGATCTGGTGTGATACTGAATAATGGAACAGTTTTGAAAACCATCAGGGTAAACAATCAGAGGGAAAAAAAGATGATAAACCACACGCTGTTGTCCTTCAGAATTATGTTCTTCAGGAAGGAGTTTTCACATCACTCAGTAAAGTTTCAGAAGGGCAACAGGGCTGTGAGGGCCCTGGAGTGCATGTTTTATAGGGAGTGGCTGAGATTACTGGGACTGCTGAGTCTGGAGAAGAGGAGCTCAGAGGAGCCCTCATCGCTCTCTACAACTCCCTGACATGAGGTGGTGGTGAGGTGGGGGTCAGCCTCTGCTCCCTGGCAACACTGACAGCATGAGAGGTGATGGCCCCAAGTCGTGTCAGGAAGGGTCAGCTGGACGTTAGGAAAGCAAATATCTCAGAAAGAGCAATCAGGTACTGGACAGGCTGCCCAGGGAGGTGGTGGGGTCACCGTTTTGAACCTTCATAGCTAAGCCTCCTCCCTCCAAACCATCCGTGCTGCTCAGTGCAGGACCTCACCTACATCGAAGAACAAAGCAGAGCCCCTCTCTGCATTACACCGCGGCCAGAAGGCCCAAACCTACCGACAGGGGCCAGGAGGAGCCCCAGGGCAACACCAGCTAGAGGTGCCAGCCACGGGCCTCGGGACCGTCAGCTGCCAGAGCCTTCGGGCGGAGCGAGGGCTGTGGCAAAGCAGGGCTCAGCGCGGGCAGGGAAAGGCCTTCAGAGGGCCACGAAAAGCGCGCAGGCTGACAGCGACTTCAGCCTGAACTGCCTCAGGGACCGACACTGCAACATCCCCAGCACGCGATTCTGCCGCCTTAATTACACCTCAGAGACCCCTGCCCACCCCTCTGCCTCAAGCCCACCAGAGCCGCACCGAGCCTCCCCACGGTCAGCACTATTTGCGCACCGCAGAAGACACGCCACAAAACGCCTGCGGCCTTCGGCCACGCTCCCCCAGCACAGAACGGCCCCGAGCCCCGCACGGCACACCAGCCCTTGCCTCAGGCGGTCCCGCGCCTCTCCTCAGGAGCACAACGACACTCCCGGCCCGGCCGAACCTCCCGCCTCACCTCAGCGGGCCCCGCGCAGCACCAACACCCGCCGGGGCCGCACTTCCGGTCGCACTGCGCAGCAACAACAGCAGGGCCGCACTTCCGGTCGCACTGCGCAGCACCAACAACAGGGTCGCACTTCCGGTCGTACTGCGCAGGCGCAGCTCCGCCCGGTGGGGGAGGGGCCGCAGACGGGGCGGCGCGCAGGCGCTGCGCCACGTGCGAGGCTGGGTGTGTCGGGGGAGATTGGAGGTTTCAGATTTTAAGTTTCGGATTGTATGTTTCAGACTGTAAAACTGTCACAAACCAGTCCAAACGGGTCGCTCTCTATCTCTCTATAAAATTTTAATGAGTGCGCTCCTGTTAACTAGGTATCTGAAACAGAAAAATAGCGACTACTACATCTGCTCTTCTTTAACCAATAAATAAACGTTTTTTCCAACAACAATTAAATAGAAACTTTACACGTTCCAAATACAACGTACAACCTATTTCCCAAAGCACTCGGTGCTGACAGGTGCTGTTAACACTCCCTCCCCTCTCGGTGCAGCTCCCTTCAGGCTGTGCTTCCATCCCTGGGTGCAGCGTTCAGCTCTGCCCTTCAGCCAGGTGCCAGACACCAGTTTGGTGGGTCTAACAGTGGGATTCGGTGGTGTTATGCCAGGTGTGACTCTCCCGAGGCAGTGCTCCACTCGCTTTTCAGAAGGCTGGTGCCATAAGGCTGGTAAGGTTTGTCACTTAAGCCACGTTTTGGTCAACAGAATACATTTGATGGCACGTCACCTTCCAAAGGAACAAGTTGTATGGGCTGTCTCATTAAGACCACAACAGTAGAAGTTAACAATACATACAAATTAAATTTTCTCAATTTCCTACGGCGCAGAAAACAAAATGTTTTCCATGAAAAGGATTTCCTCGTTCTCAAACTTCACTTAGAAACTCAGCTGAACATACCGTTGTTCTGTAGCATTAAGAAAGTTCACTAACAAAAGACTTTGCCGTACGCTGTGAAGAAACCAAAGTGTTCAGCAGCTGTGTGCACACTGCTCATGTGCTGTTCAGCTGGCACTGCCGCTCCGTCTCTGCTTTCTTCTCTTGCCGGTGGTTCACTGCAGCCCAGAAGGTTATTTTTTTCAGCACCTGCTGCAGAAGTTTGGATGGCAAACAAGGGATTTGATTGTTCAGTTGGGCTGCATTTTTACCAATGCAGTCAAGGCACAACCTGAAGAAGAGGTAGGGAAAAAAAAAAAAAAGAAAAAAAAGAACATTTAAATTAAAAAAAAAAGGTTCTTAGGGTCCCCAGCTCAAGAAAGATGTGGAGCTCTTGGAACAAGTCCAGAAAAGGGCCACTAAGATGATCAGAGGGCTGGAGCACCTCTCCTGTGAGGGAAAGTTGAGGGGACTGGGCTTGTTTAGCTTGGAGAAGAGAAGGCTCCATGGAGACCTCATTGTGGCCTTCCAGTGCTTGAAGGGAGCGTGTGAATAGGAGGGGGAATGGCTGTTTGTGAGGGTGGGTGGTGACAGGACAAGGGGGAATGGTTTTAAAGTGAGACAGGGGAGGTTTAGGTTGGATATGAGGAGGAAGTTCTTCAGCCAGAGGGTGGTGAGGCACTGGAACAGACTGCCTAAGGAGGCTGTGGATGCCCCATCCCTGCAGGCATTCAAGGCCAGGCTGGATGTGGCTCTGGGCAGCCTGGGCTGGTGGGTGGTGACCCTGCACACAGCAGGGGGTTGGAACTGGATGAGCACTGTGGGCCTTTGCAACCCAGGCCATTCTAGGATTCTGTGATTTAGGTAAGTTGCCTGTAACCCAAAGTGGCGTTGCCTAGAAGCTTCTTGCAATGTTCAGTACACGTGTTATGCACACACATGCAGGAGACAGAGGATTAGACACCACTGGTGTTTAAACTGCTATGGATTATCATACACTGCATGTTTCAAAGGTTTGCTGAGAGTCATTTTGTAGTTTACCTGCCTACACAGGATTACATTAAAACCCTTGTGTACAAACAGCACCAGAGCGATGTAAACAGCTTCAGCTCACCTGAGAAGTGAGTAAGGTTGTGTCTGAAATATCAACAAGTCACTGCAGTGACCCTGATTGAGAGAAAGAAAACAAGTATGTAAATGACAAACAGCTTTTTTCAGAAGTACTGCCATTTTGTACATCAATATAACACCTATTACTACATTCAAAGTTTTAAATTGTAGATATTTAAATAATTACTCAGAAAGAATCTGAATAGTAGACTTCTTTACGAGCCTAATAAAAGGCAACAAAAACCCTTTTTAAATTACCTTTCAGGAACACCTGAGGTCACATCCTCTCATATCCTTATATCAGGAAAAACTTTACTGAAAGGGTTGTTAAGCACTGGAAGGGAGGTGGTTGAGTCTCCATCTCTGGATGTGTTTAAAGACTGTTTGGATGTGGTGCTCAGGGCCATGATTTAGCAGAGGGTTGTTAGGGTAGTATGGTTAGGTTGTGGTTGGACTCAATGATCTTTAAGGTCTTTTCCAACCTGAGCGATTCTATGATTCTATATCAGCAACTGTATTAACTTCATTTTATTTCAATTACAGTAACTATAGTGCTGGGATTTTGTTATTCAGTTTACTGACCGTGTCCATGAAGTGCAAGTCATCCTTGCTTCCACCAAACACCATCACCTCTCCTTCTTTTCCAAGGCAGGCTGTATGCCACAGTCTAGAAATAACATTGTGAATAGGTTTAGTGACCAAATAACAACAAGCAGATGTGTGTTATCAGTAAAACAGTTCTAAAAGTTAAATATTTTTATGCGATACATCTACATATTAACTACCTCACATACTTTCCTACATTCCTCATATTCAAGTTTCTCTTCACAACTCTTCCATTAGGAGGATCTACGTTCCTCTGAATTAAAATGGAAAGGTCACCTTTGCTCAGTCCTGTGATTGCACTCAGTTCTGTGATTGCACAGAGAGCCTTGAAGTCTCATTCTTCTCACACCACTTCCCCAGAAGAATTGCAAAATTTGAAATAATTAATTTTACAGCTTGCACTGTGAGGTGGATAAACAATAAAGCTGGTTCTTCATTATTTGTGTCTTAAGGAAGACTTTCTTTGCTAATGAGCCCTCAGCTCCACGGGAGTGAAGGCCATTATGAGCCATTCTTTTCTGTTTGACCATTTATTTGCACAGAGTAATACTCTGGGAAGTACCTCTGAGGTTTCTGCTTTGTCAAATATTACTCAAATGGGTCAATTGATTCCAAACATATATGGGAAAGAGAGGCAGATGTACATGTAGAATACTGTAACATAACCCCCAGCTTTTAGAAAGCCAAGACAAAGACATTATTTAAAAGGTTTTCAAAACTAACCAATCCATTAGAATATTACATTATTCTTCAATTACTTAACAATATTAAAGGAGAGAGCAATGTGACTATCCATCTCATGAGAATTTTGGTGAATGATTACATTTCATGCAGACCAGTACATTTTTGTCACTACTTGACTTAGCTGTATTGTAGTTACATACACTTTGTCTTATGCATCAGTGGTGCAACAAAAAGTTGCAGTGGAAAAAAGCAAGCTTTTTATCAAAACAGCCTTTATCCTGTTTCTTTAATCCATGAGTACAATTGTACTAGTTTTAAAATCATGGGGTTTTTAGTACTGACTCTTATCCCACCTTTTCTCTTCCTCATACCTGTGGATAGATCTGTCTCTGCCTTATCTGTCTTAGGGAAACTCTGGCCTGGACTTGATCACCGAAGAACACTTGGAAGCCTTTCCTGCCTTCACCTTGTTGCCATCCTATCTTGCAACCTGATGCATTTTTCTACAGACTGACAGAGTTTATGTCCTCTCACAGCTGCTCTAACTTAGCACCTAAACATTCTAATAAAGCATGTTATTTAAATTACACAGAATCTGAATTCATATAACCTTTTACATAGCTCTTCTATCTAGAGTAACAGAATTACATGGTAATGCAAACACTAGGAATTTGTAAATTAAACATACAATTTGTTAATTAACTTGGCATGCAAAACGTTTCCTAAAGCACAATTTATGGACAGAAAAAAATATATTCTTTTCTACCAATACAGAATCAGGAGACAATTTACTTGAAAAAGGAGGTTGAATGAAACTAAAGGAACTGTTCTTTAAAGAATTTAATGAGAAACAACTTTGCAGAAGCACCAGAACAGATGTGGTACAGTGTATTATGAGAGAAATATATAACCTAAGTACACATTTAAGTATTAACACCAGAACATGTTAAGTCCTACTGTTAAAGGCATGTGAGCAACTTATTCACACTAATTCAATATATAGACAGGTTTTTGGTGTGGCTTCTTTTATCTGTTTCCAAGACACTTCTTGAAAAATGTTACTGCAATATCTTCCTTTAAAAAAGTGGTGCTGGACTGTCATTTACTTCCTTAAAGATTTAGATCAATGAAGGGCAACTGTCCTCAGCCTACCAAAACTGTACACCAAAATCTGAAGGCAGCAGAGAATAGCAAGATACATTTGAACTGGAGGGAACTCTCAGACTGTCATGAGATGGGAACCCCATGGCTCCATTCTCTCAGGGCTGCATGCACAGCAAAGCAAGCCGTGGCAGTCTCAGTTGCCCTTTTTTGGTGCTCCCACAGCAGCAAAGCAGGTGGATTGCTCAGCAGCCTCTCTGGCAGCACTGTCAAGTGAAAGGGAAGCTTTGCAGCCCAGTAAGGGATCTGCTATTGAGCTGCCTGTAAGCTCCTTGGGGCTCAAGAGTCGAGTACCAGCACCAAGTTTGAAACCAATGATATTACAGCTTAACTGCAGAGTAAAGGCTGAGCTGCAGGTCCCTAGCCTGCTGCTTGTAGAAGGAGCACATCCTGCTCCTTCCCAGTCCCTTTCTATGATGCACCAGAAACTAAAACTGAATTACACAAGAGGAGGCAGTGCATTTCAGCAGTTAACTTTTAGAAGCCATCCGTGTAAATAACAAAAAACAGGAAGACTAATTAGCCTTGACAGCTAATGATGTGCTTAGTTATTTAAGCAGTCATCTGTTTTCACATACCAGTTCACTGACTGTAAAAAGACAGAAAGTATTCCATGAAGCTAAGGTATGAATTT